GGATGACCCAAGGTCTAGGATGCGGGTCTGGGTGGCAGCTGAGCTGGTGAGTCCATGAAGCTGGGACCTATCCCCTCAGGTAAGGGATAGAGCCAGCTCTCTTAGGCCTGTGTCATCCAGGTCAGCTCCAACACACATGCGTGGGGCCATGGGGAGATAAGTGTGTTCTTCATTTATGCTGTAGGTCCAACAATGGTTGGCTGGGGAGCCACTTGTTGGTTCCAGGTGTCAGGATTCAGGCATTATGCTGGCCTGCCCCTGTCACTTGGCAGAATGCACTCAGGTGGTATCCTGGTCAACCCAGGGTTCCATGGTTGCATAGTCTCTATGCAGGTGCAAAGGACCCTTTAAAAGAAAGACCCCTGCCCACTTACACTCTCTCTTTCCTGCTGTTCACCTGGGGCAGTCAGGACTTTTCCTGTCTCCCTGTTCTCTTCTGTCCTCTCTCTGTCTTCGTCTTTTTACCTCTTTTCTCTTTCCTTCCCCCTTGCCTCCCCTTTCTAATAAAACTTCTCACTTATGTTCTGTCTGCCTGCCAAGTTTGTTCCTCCACCTCAGTCACCCTCACCTGCCATGGAATCTGACAAGGTTCCCCACACTCATTATCATAATACCAAGACCCAGGGTGACAGGTATACATGGTTGTTATGAAGAGGCCAACTGGATCTCCCCTGAGTATTGAAGATCCACCCCAATGACTCATGCTATGTCTGCTCCTAACTCATTGGCCTGAGCTACAGGCTGTGTTCCAGCACAAACCCTGTCCTGTGCTTAGTGGGGGAGAGCTAGAAGCATTTGTTCAGTGACATTATCTTGACAAGAGTAAATACAGAAATTTCCTCCAAGAACTAATTATCATGAAAAAGTTGGCTACCAGAAGTGATTTCAGTAAGAGAATTCAGACAGTCCCCCAACCCCCATCCACTTTCTTCCAAAGGTCTCTTTCAAAATGGACCGTTCAAGTTGGCCAAGGGCTAATCTGTTCCAAACTTCTCAACGGCTGGTGGGTGGTTTAGCCAATGGGCCCCCGCCAGCTGGCCAGTCAGCCAGCTCTTTCTAGAACCTCAACACCTTTTTATTGAGTCAGCTAGTTTTCAGTGAGTCAGGAAGGAGGCATGGAAGCCATCATGAGAGTGAGAGAAGCAGAAGTTAGGTGGAGGGAGGCTAATGAAATGAAATAATAAAACCAAACATCTGAATAAACTACAATTTGAATATTACTTGACTCAACCGTTTACCGTAGTTAGGAAGGATTTCATAGCGGAAGTGACACTAAGCTGTCAGATAAAGGCATTTGCTAGGTGGGGCACTCCTAGCAGTGGGCAGGCTGTGTGATCAGAAAACTGCTGGGCTTTAGTATTCCAAGGAGCTGGGGCTACTGTACCTATTCGGACTACAGTGAAATTCTAACATAGGACTAAAAATTCTAGAGCAGGGCCAAACATTTACATTTGTTAAGAGACAGGGGATGAGGTGCCTTATTCAATAAATAAAATGTTTAATTCATCATAGCCAACACTAATAAAGACCATTGTCATGTCTAATGGTGTTTGTTTATTCTAACTTTTGCTCTCCACAGTCTCAGTTACCAATGGTGGTCCAAAAACATCAAATAGGCGATTCCAGAAATAAACAGCTCATACATTTTAAACTGCATGCAGTTCTGAGCATGAGATAATCTCTCTTGTGACATTAGGTTGTGCTTTTACTATTATGCTATTTTATTATTGATGTTGTTAATCTCTTATTGTGCCTAATTAAACTTTACCACGTGAATAAGTATAGCAAGCAAATAGAATATATAGGTTTTGGTGCTAAGTTTTTGGGTATCCACTAAAGCTCTTAGAAAATAGCCTAGATAAGAGGGGACAGTTGTATTATATTAAATGACCTCCCATTCTGTTCTTGAATTTGAAAGGTTATAGGTATTGTAACACATGCCCCCCCCAAAAAAAAAAACCACACAAAGTTTCTCTGGGAGCAGCAGATGATCTACTAGGCTAAAACAAAACAAACCAAAGCAATCCCAACAGTTTTTTTTTTTTTTTTTTTTTTTTTTTTGCAGTGCAGGGATGTGGGTATGTAAGAACATATTTTAAGGGGAGAAGAAAGGCTTGGTCTTAACCAGTTTGTGAGGTAGGTATTATTTTACTAACTCACAATTGGCAAAACCAAAAGTCAAATAAAGGGGTTTCTTGTAACAAAACACACTCGAGTTATATTTTTCACCCTCTGAGACTGTTTTTCTGTGAGAAATGGAAACAGGATGTACACTGCCTACCTCACAGGGACAAGATAATTGAAAGAAATAATAAACAGAAATTTTGACATAACTCTTAACCTTTACTGAATTGAGATGCTCTGATTCTGTCCTGATTTTGCATTTTATTAAAAACCGAGTTTTGTCAGGTGTGATGGCATATGCCATCAATCCCAGCACTGGGGAGCAAAGGCAGGAGGATCTACATTCCCAAACTCCAGCCTGGGATGAGGATATGAATTGAGGTATTTGTCTCTAGAATTGGAGCTCCCAAGTATTCAACTGTGAATGATACACTAATAAAAACAGTGGACCAGTTTCCTTAAATGAATCTGAGCCATGATTATGTACATCATTTTTTAACTTGGTATCTGCAGCCACTCCTTGATTTAGGATAGGCTCTCTACTGTGGAGGTCACTAGTATACATTTTGATTTACTATGATATTTGCCTTTTTTTCTGTGAAAAATTATTCTCCATATAACTAATCTCTATAAATTGTCCTCTTTCCTCTAATTGTTCTGTTTTTAATTTCCTAAGAGCCAGAAACTGGATCACTGCACATGGCAGAACTGTGTCTAACCTGGGAGTCACAGGCCACTGCAGAAAACACAGTCTGTTGTGAACAGATTTTGTGACATCTGTGGCAGGATCTTTATTTTTGTCATGTTTTATGCTCTCATCTGTGATCTGTATATATTACATGGCTCCATAGATGACTTCTTAAGAAACAAGGTGTCATACAGCATAAATCCAAGGTGTTGCTACCCTTCTGCTTGTTCCTGAGTATTTTCATCATCTCTCTAATTAAAAGGATGGCCTCATCCGTCAGGCTTCTGGGGAGCCATCTGATGCTGGAAGTAAAGAGAGAGGCTACAACTTGTATAAAAATAGCTCTCCCAGGTGGTGAGGGACAAAGTTACAACTCTGCGGCTTGATTCAGTGGATTGATATAGCTGAGTACTTACATTTTGGAGTAGGAGGAGAAGCAGACAAAAGTAGCCAGAGACACTAGACTGGAGGCCACTCCTAAATAGAACAGAAGATGCCAGAAGCCATCATTTAACATGGAGATTAGCTGCTAGGATTTCCTATTGCTTCATTCCCATCACTGGCCCACCTCTTTGAGTCTTTCTCACCTCTGGACCTGCAGGAATAAAACACATACACCGCCCCCCACACACACTTGGAAGCCATAGATTTAAAGGATTTTAGAAAAACTCTAGAAAAGAACAAGCTGAGGTCTTCATGGGCTCAGAAAGAGCCTTACTGGACTCACACCCTGACTTGTCATACAGACCCAGCTTGCAACACCTCTGTGAGAGGCTCCTTCAGTTAGAGCAGTCCCATTGCCCCATTTTCTCCACTCCTGTGTTGACTGGTCTCCAATTTGCAATGAAGCCTTTTGCTTCAGAAAGCACAGACTATTTGCAAACATCATGACACCATTTACAATCTCCAAACAAATGTTAAGGCTCTGAGATCACTTACTGGCTTGAAACTTACATTTTACAAACACAAAATTTATGAATCAAGTATTTATAAAGATTGAATTGTGCAGTTGTTTCTCCCCTTTTGTTGCATTCAAATTGCCCCACATTCTGGAGGAAAACTGAAGCCCCTACAATAAACCCACTTTTAAAAATAGCTCAATGTCTAGCCAATAATTGAAGTTAGACTTTTAAAATATGGTAATTAGAAACAGGCTTGTGCTTTTACTTGGCAAATGTAATAGATGCTATTATTTTTGAAAAAGCTAACTGAGAAACACGTTGAGCTCTTTAAAAATTTATTAGCGGAAAGCCAGGGAATTGCTGTTCCCTGGTGGCAGCACGGACTCATTGCAGGCCAGCTACTTACTGATGGAAGAAAGATTTCCAAATTTAGTTCTGCAATAAATCAACCCTTTAAAAATACTTCCATTAACATTGCATGCTATTGGTGTTTTGAGACAGGGTCTGGTTATTTAGTGCAGGCTGCCTTAAACTTAAAATCCTCTTGCCTCATCCCCCCATGTGTTGGGTTTGCAGGTGTGGATGGATCATCATATTCTCATATGAAAGGTTTACAGGTAGAGAGAAACAACCCTCAGCTGACTTTCCCCCCACATAATAGGATTTTTGCTGAACAAGTGAATGATAATACAGAAGGTAGGAAATTATTATTATTATTATTATTATTATTATTAGTTTTTGAGACAGGGTTTCTCTGTAGCTTTGGAGCTTGTCCTGGTACTCGCTCTGTAGATTGGGCTGGCCTCAAACTCACAGAGATCTGCTTGCCTTTGCCTGCCTGCTGAGTGCTGGGATTAAAGGCATGCACCACCACCTGGCCATGGATATTATTTTTTTAGGAGGCAATTCCTTCTTATAGAATCATATGGCACACAGACTTTGTGCCATGTACCTTAAAGTATCCTGTGAACAGGCAATGAAGTCTCAATGTTGGTGTTCATGTTCTGCTACAGCATGAGGCTCTCTTGCTATTGAGTTAAATAGCTAACCAGTGGAGTAGTTACCACAGAGGAAGGAACAGAAATAATGGAAAACCTCTTCTGATTGCTTAGTAGGTGCTTAGACTCCTGCTGCCATGTTAGAGCTTGCTGGAGGCTTCCTGTTAAACAAGTATGGTAGTTTTATTCTCAGTACACTCCCCTTACACTTCAGCATAGAGATTTGAGTGCACTGTCCTAGAAAAGAGACTGACCTGGTAGACAAGTGCTGCACAATCAGAGTTCAAGTTGGGGCAGGATTTTCAATGTCTTTATTAAGAAATATCAAAAGTTGATTACCATTCCATACACAGTTGTACAAAGTTGAAGTGAAATGGTACGTAGGGATGCCATCTCTATGTGTGTTTAGTCTATGGTAGCTTGCCAATAGGGTGAGCCAAAGTTCCAATTCCACAACAATGTCTTTTCCCTATTTCTACTAGGCCACAGCATAATGCCTTGCTACTTGAAAGATTAGTAATACATGTTTCTGTATAGATTCATCTTTTTATTCTGTCATTATCTTTCTTTCTCTGAGAAAGCTGAGCAGTTGATAGGAAGCACAACATGTTCAAATCCTGTTTACTGGTGATTGCGTTACATTTTCAGAATCTGTTTTGGATGCTCACAAACACTGCATGCTACATGTTACAATATCACACACGGGAACTCAAGCACATTGTTATTTTAATTTGACAACGAACACAAAAGGGAGGAATTGCTTGTCTTAGAAACAAAACACCATGGGTCCTTCTGTGGAACTTTCAGGTATAAAACAAATCTGCTAGTCCCACTGAGCTCCAGTCATACTGGCAGACAGTATGACAGAGTGTGGATTGATGCAGGAACACCAGCATAGAATAGTGGCGGGAGAACTTTCGGGGATGTGACATCATCTTTTATGTCACGGCTACGGTGCCAGAGAGGAATCACACAAAGTAATTGGGATTAAGAGGTCATTGGGAAACAGCCATGGTGTGGTGTGCCTTGGTTGAGGCTTGTGCTGGTTTCTCTAAACGTAGATTTCTGGAGATTGTCTAGCAACATCAGAAGGAGCCATCTTCAGAGGAAGGACTCCTTGTTCACCCACATGAGGCTGCGTGTCTCATTGGGCTTGCATTCATACTCAATGACAGAGAATGGGCTTCCCCACTGGCAATGGTCTCGCTTGTGGTAATTGTAGAACTTGACTTGCCACACTGTCTCGAAGGTCCCAATGTCTGTGAACTGAGGGAAGAGAGACACCCATCAGAATCCCATCCTGCCACAAGCAGTTGATACCTGCTACCGTCAGTGACACACACACACACACACACACACACACACACACACACACAGTGGATGCCCGCTAACATAAGTGACACACACAAGCAGTGAATGTCTGCTAACCTCAGTGACACACACAAGTAGTATGTCTGCTAAAGTCAGTGACACAACCCCTAATAATCAGGTCTCAGTAGCCACATCTTAGTCTGCAAAGCTCACACATTTCCTTTTAGGAACTACATTCCTAAGAGATATTTTTTCCCCAAATCTCTTTGGCATTGGATTATTTCATGAATTTATCTTGTTTCCCAAGTTTAGTTTTCTGAAAAGCCAACTTTAGACTCTCACAATTTTAGTGCTTTAAAAAAAATCCCCCTTGCCACAGAAGGGAATTGGAAAGAGAAGACAGGGAATAGTGTTGACTGGTCATCTTTTGGGTTCTGTTTCAAAAGACAGTAGTACAAGAAAATGTCTATATTATGCATCTAAACATAGGTATTAATACTTGTTTTTTTATTATTAGTTTCAACTCAGGGGACAATATTTGACTGAAGGTGGCAACCACAAATGTTTTGCTTCAAAGTACTGGATTCATGAATATTTACTTTAATTGTCAAATATCAAGGGTCTGTAAGTCAGACGTATATGCCATTGTCTCAAGTTTAGGTACTGTACCATCCAAACTATGAGTGTCTATTATGTACCTTGTACATAAGAAAGTTGTGTAAGGTGTGATTATTGCTTTTGCAATGTTTGCATTCCAGCCAGGTATGTTGTGTTACACTGAAATCCCAGCATATGGAAGGCAGAGAGAAGACTGCTCCAAGTTCGAGGCCAGCTCGAACCATCATGAAAATGAAAGTTATCATTCTACTAGGAAGTTGGAAGGTAGGCTCACTAGAAATCACTGTACAGATTCTGAACCATAGGATGGGTGTCTTGTAGCCACAAAGAAGGCATAGAATGCTCTAGAGGCAACTGGGCAGATGCTCGAGTGGCCTGGGGTTGCCTGACTACTGCCTTCTGCAGCTATTTAGAGGATCTGGCATTAAACAGCATTCTGCCTGTAGTTATTTTCTCCACTGATCCTCCCATGATGGGAAGGGGCAGGGACTGACTTGGCAGGAATCTTAGACTCTCTTAGAGCCAGGAGACATAGTGAGCAGGGTAAGCTTTTATGCTGTGCAGTTGATTCAGGAGGGTGATCAAATGCTTCACAGAGAGCTTTCCCAGGTTCTCAGGACTTAGCCTCTTTGCCATTGCCTCATCCACTAACTTGATCCCAAATCAAGATCTGGGTTTTCCTTTGGGAAATGTGCCCTATGTGAAACACAGGATGATACCATTAGAGTCTTCCTAGGTATGAATGGGAAGTATCTCTTTCTCTTTGGAGAGTCATGACCTAAAGATCTATGAGGCTACAGCAGCTTGTTTATGATAACCCCAGGCTGGAATAAACTCAACACCTTACTATTGACTTGATGGGAAGAAAGTTTTGGTATATGTGTAAAATGACATGTGAGTGACTTATCAATAGGACAAATAAATTAAGGTAAGAGCAGCAATAGATCTTAAGACACTATAAGCAAAAAAAATCTTGATTCCAGAGAATGAATGAATGAATATATATATATATATATATATATAAAATGCTATACTAACAGAAAATATCTGTGGTTATCTAGGGCCTGAGAGTAGTGAGATTGGTGAAAATGTATGACAGAACTTTTAGAGGGCAGTGATACAAATATTGTATATCTTGGTTGATGTGGGCCCAAACACACTGAACTATATACTGGTTTATTTATTATTTGTAAATGATGTCACATGATTGATTGCTTTTTAAATCAGTATCCATTTTCAGAAAGCCACAGCAAGGTAGGCTACTGAGTCCTTCATCAAGGAGTCCTTTGACAGTCAGGCTAAAGGTGTGAGTGAATGTTGGCTCAGCAATTGTACTTCCTATAAGAATGTAGGAAACTTATCAGTGGAAACTGAACAAGAAATACTCATTTATAGAACAGACTATTATATAGAAATTTTAATGTAAGCTGTTTTTCTATTATTTTTATTCTTACACAAATCAAGTTCAGTACAATAATGAATGCATGGTATTGGGACAGGGATATAGTTCAGTGGTAGAGTACCTGCTCAGAAAACATGAAAGACTCTAGGATGATTTTCAGTAAAAAAAAAAAAATCTAGGATAATATTATTCTAATGTCCAATTTAATCATACTTACTTAATTCCAACTTAATGTTGGAAAACGATGGAATACATTTGTTTTCCTATGTGTTTATTTGTATTTTTTAAAATTCAATGAGAAAAATAAAAAACCTTCAAACCCAAACTAAGTGTTAGCAGTTTTGAACAAATAGTAATATAAAATATGTAATAAGTAAATTAAATATTACATGAATTTTAGGAATTACTAAGACTGTTAGGAGCCGGACGTTGGTGGTGAACGCCTTTAATCCCAGAACTCGGGAGGCAGAGGCAGGCGGATCTCTGTAAGTTCGAGGCCAACGTGGTCTCCAGAGCAAGTGCCAGGATAGGCTCCAAAGCTACACAGAGAAACCCTGTCTCGGGGGAAAAAAAAAAGACTGTTAGGATAAAGGACTGAAACATAGTTCATTAAAAGAAAATTATAGGGGCAGGAAAGATGGTTCAGTGGTTAACAGCACTTGTTGCTGTTGCAAAGGACCTGAGTCCAGTTCCCAGCACCCACATCCCAGTTCCAGGGGATATGAGGCCTTTTCTAACCTCTTTGGGCATGCATACATACACATAAAATAAAATTAATAAACATTTAAAAATTAAAAAAGAAAACTATGAGTAACATTTGAAAAATATTCAAACACAATATTATCAGTTAAGCAAATACAAATGTTTTACAGAGATACCAGTTATCTATTCAATTACTTTAAATTCCTAAGTTCCAGAAGCACTGTTCTAGGCATCTGTTATTAAGAAAATATTATGAAAATGGTGGTGGATTGGGGTGGTGGATTTGCATAGTCATCAAGGAGTAACTCAGATTATTAATATAATGTGAGAATGTACAGAGTAATCTTAACCAGAAAGAAATTAGAACCATTTATACACATGAACTCAAATATGGAAAATCTAAAGTATATAGAAGCAATTTTAACTTCGAAGTCATCGAGTTTTTCTATTTTTTTCATCCAGAGTTTTGCTATGAAAAAGTCAAAATGAAATGACTTTTGCTACCTCTATAGTTAAGACTGATATGATATAGATTATTAGGAATATGTACATTGTAATGCAGATATCACAGCTTTGTCCAAAATAAGAGAGTATCGGCACATATACAAATTGTGATCTCATTTAATAATTTATTTCTAAAGATGTAATATTATTAGCTTTAGCTGACAAGGCATTTCCAGTGGTAGGAACAACTGAATTATAAAATGTAGTTGGAATTTGAATTCTAAATTATAATGGCTACACTATTTTGAGATAAGGGCTCATTCTGTGGCTCCATCTAATGGAAGCTTGCTATGTAAATTTGGCTGGCCTTGAAATCACAAAGATCCTCCTGCCTCTGTTTTCTGAGGGCTCACGTACATCTCTGGTCAGTAAAGGTATTTTATAAAGTACATATTTAGTAGTAAACCATTTTATTATGAAAATAGTTTTCAAATAAAGCTAATCATCCAAGAGAAGTGGCAGCCTTAAGCCATGTTTCAGCTAGGTGAGGAAAAATACTGAGAACATTTTTTTGAACTAAGAAAGAACTGGACATAAAAATAACAAAACAGAAACATAAAAATGAATAATATAACCATACATAATGAAAAACCTCAGTATTATTAACTTATTTGAAAAAATTTAAATTAGGAAAGTCGTTCTTAAACATTTATTTTTAGTTTATGTGTCTGCATATATGTTTGTGTAGCATGTGCGTTCAGTGTCTACAGTGGACAGAAAGGGGTGTTGGATCTCCTGGTTAGAGTTAGAGGTGGTTGTGAACTTTCATGCAGGTGTTGGGGATAGAACCTGGGTCTTCTGGAGGAGCAGAGAATGTTCTTAACTACTGATTCATCTCTTCAGCCTCTGGAAGTCTTAATCTAAAATATTCCATAGTATTCAGTAACACAAGAGAGCAAAATAGCAATATTCTGATGGCAATGGTCATAGCAAATACACTGAGACGTTAGTTTATCGTCTTCATTTGGTTTGGCTTCTCCTGATCACTGCCAAGTCACAGTCATGTTGTTAAGTTCAAATACACCGCTGGTAATTCAGTCTGCACATCTTCCTCTCTCCCAGTCTTTAGATTTTTATTCTTCCCACCAATTTTCTGGAGTTCCACTTTATGGTCCTTTATCTAGCTCAGACTGTTTTCTCATCTATCTGAGAACAGAAGCAACCACACAGGTTTGCTCCTCTCCCTCCTCACTCATCTGTCTCTTATGAGAAAAAAATGATTATTTTAAAATCCAGTGTTTTGAAAATGTCTAGATTGATAAACTTTTTTTCTCATTTCATTAGTTTTTTGAGAATTCTGAACAATGTATTTTGGTCATATTCACACATCTCTCCACGTCTCTCAGATATACCCTTCTCTACCCACCATACTTGAATCCTTTCTTTTTTCTTTTTTTAGCCCACCATGTACAGTTTGAGTTATCTGTATATGCCTGGATGTGTGTGTATTGGAGCATGATTGCCATATCAGGGGCCACACCTAGGAATTGCCAATAGCTCTTCACCTAGGTGTGGGACTTTGGGCCCCTCCTCTCCTTTCCTTTCCTCTCCTCTCCTCGCTGGGATTTTGTCTGGCTTGAGTTTATATAGATCTGGTGCACGCAGTCACAACTGCTATGAAAAATGAACACACTCTTAACAACTGAATAAGTAGAATAAAAATTACCAACATTATGAATTAAAAACAAAACAGAACATGATTATACATTGCATAGATCTTAAGCTGGGA